TCTGTAGGTTTTGGACCGACTGTATATATCTGTAGGTTTTGGACCGACTGTATATATCTGTAGGTTTTGGACCGACTGTATATATCTGTAGGTTTTGGACCGACTGTATATATCTGTAGGTTTTGGACCGACTGTGTATATCTGTAGGTTCTGGACCGACTGTGTATATCTGTAGGTTTTGGAATGACTGTGTATATCTGTAGGTTTTGAACCGACTGTATATATCTGTAGGTTTTGGAACGACTGTATATATCTGTAGGTTTTGGACCGACTGTGTATATCTGTAGGTTTTGGAACGACTGTATATATCTGTAGGTTTTGGACCGAATGTGTATATCTGTAGGTTTTGGAACGACTGTATATATCTGTAGGTTTTGGACCGACTGTATTTATCTGTAGGTTTTGGACTGACTGTATATATCTGTAGGTTTTGGACCGACTGTGTATATCTGTAGGTTTTGGACCGACTGTATATATCTGTAGGTTTTGGAACGACTGTGTATATCTGAAGTACTCGTAGTAAATAAGAACACTGTGTTTCTGCTGGCCTCATTTCTAAACAAACCAGATGAGTGGAGGAGACAGGAAGTGGTTCGTAGGTTTGGGTTAGACTCGTCGTTAGCTGTGACACAGAAAGACTCACATGGTACCGTCTGAGACCCAGGACCAGTTTCTGTAGAAAGATTCTTGTTTAGATGTAGTTTGATTAGAAGTTGTGGTCGAATGTCCTGAGGTCACCACGGACTGGGCCAGGAAAACTCCAGGTTTGGTACCACAGGGTTCCAGTTAGGTTCAGGTTCTGGACTCTGGACTTGTTGTAGAACCTTGATTCTTCTGTTTTTGACCCGTTCTGTTGTAGATCAGCTGCTGGGTTTGGGATCAGGGTTCTGTTTGGACCCAGTTTGGTCCAAACTTCAGCTGTCAGACAGATGGACCCACATCCAGAACTCTTTGACCTACAGAGGACTTCCTGGTCCACTCAGTCCTCCACCACCGCTGCAGTGCATTCTGGGTAAACACGTGTTCTGGTTCCGGTCCAGAAGTCTTGAGGCTCCATCAGATGAAACTAAGCCGTGCAGCCATGTTGGTTTTAGTGAAGAGGCTTCTTTGACCTTTGACCTGCCTGTAGAGCCTGAAACACACCTGTTCTCCAGGTGGTCCCACTGATGAGGATCAGTTCCTCAGCAGCTCCTGATCCTGGACCTCTGAGGTCCTGAAAGCAGCAGGGTTCAGTTTTTACTGTTTGCTGGTTGAACTGTGATAAAATCAGATTTTTTGCTGATTCAGACTTTAGATGTAAAGATAGTTTGTTATAAACACACTGTGAAGAGACAGCTGGGAGGTCCAGGTCCAGGTCCGGGTCCAGGTCCAGGTCCTGGACTTCATCTGGGTCCAGCTTTAACCAGATTCTTTCTTTGAGTTTCTTTTAAGACTAAATCAAGTTTCTGCCCAACAAGTCCTTATTCTGCTGATCTGAGATGTTTTCAGATCTACAAACATCCTGTGAGCAGAAACCTCAACCCAGCCAGCACCTCCTCCCTCCTTCCTCTGCAGTGTGGCCCCTCCTCCTCCTCCTCCTCCTCCTCAGATGAAGAGGCGCTCTGCCGTCGAGGCGTCAGTGTTAGAGCGAACAGAGAACAGGTGAGTTTCTCTGCAGCTGGATGGAGAGCTGCTGAAAACATGCTGTTTGGATGGAGAATCAGTGTTGTGCTGCTGCTGGCAGCTGGAGGCGGAGCTCAGAGCGGGGACGGAGACGCTGAGCCAGGTGAGACACACACCTGGACAACCTGCACGTTCATCAGAACTTTATTTTCTTCTGTCAGGTTAGATTCTTCTTATACCTGAACAGAAACCCTCCTCAGAGCCGCCTGCAGTCACCTGAAACTGGTGTTGCTTTGGAAACTGTTGTTTGTTTGTTTGTTTGTTTGTTTGTTTGTTTGTTTGTTTGTTTGTTTGTTTGTTTGTTTGTTTGTTTGTTTGTTTGTTTGTTTGTGTCAGCTTGGTTCTGACTGTAAAGCTGCTGACATGAAGAGAACCCAAACAAAGTTCTGGTAAAGCTTCTTCAGTGGGCTTCACATTTGATCCTGAGGGGTCCGAAGTGTAGACCCTGCAGAACCTGGACCACTGGGCCCAGGTGGTTAAATGATGGTTCTGTCTCACAGCAACAAGTCTGAAGTCAGCTCCTCATCAGTGGGTTCCTGCTTCAGTCAGGAAGAGAAGCACCTGCGGACCCCTGAGCTGGGTTTGACAGGAAATGTTCTGAAGGCCCAGTCTCCTCTGTGACCATGAGTCCCACTGACAGAAAGAGAACTGGACCAGCAGGTGGAACCAGACTGATCAGACGCTGAGCTCCATCCTATCAGCTGAAACCACAACAAGAACCAGATCAACAAACTGGGTTAAAGCTCCGGGTCGGTTCTGTCTGTTGCCTCATTTAGACCTTTGGGTCACAGTGTGACAAAAACATCCATCCTGCTTCTGCTACCAGCCCTGGTTCTGAATCCGAACAGGTTCTGAAGCATGACGATGAGCACCAACCCACCAGAGTCCAAAGAGAAAGAACAGAAGACCTCCATCATGAAGCAGAACATGTGATCCACATCAGAATCATAGCAGTTCTGCAGGTTCTAACCCGGCACCACTGTGGTACCAACAGATGCCCAACAAGAAACGAGAGGTTCTGTTCAACCGTTTTTTACACCAACAGGTCAAACTGAAAGTAACTCATAAACCGTAACTTCAAACCAGCTTTAAAACCTGGTTAAACCAGGTTTAACCAGAGTTTAACCCGTGTTAAACCTGTCCTTAACTCATTTTTAACCCGAGTTTAACCCATGTTAAACCTGTCCTTAACTCATTTTAACCCAAGTTATGTTTAACTTGTGCTTAACTTGTGTTTAACTCTTGTTTAACTTGTGTTTAACTTGTGTTTAACTTGTGTTTAACTTGTGTTTAACTTGTGTTTAACTCTTGTTTAACTTGTGTTTAACTTGTGTTTAACTTGTGTTTAACTCTTGTTTAACTTGTGTTTAACTTGTGTTTAACTTGTGTTTAACTCTTGTTTAACTTGTGTTTAACTTGT